TATCTTTTCATTTGTTCTCTCTTCCTCTTCTGCAGATGACAATATCATTTTCAGTGTGGATCTGAAACAAAAACCCTGACACAAAAGGAGGAATCTAATTATGTTTTCAAATGAATTGCCTTCCTTTTTTTCAGGTTTTCTCATTTAGGGTAGTTTATGTCACAAGTGTTTTAAAAAAAGACCAAGAAAAGTAACTTACTGTAATTTGAGTCAGTACATTTCAGGCTACTCTGCTGATGCACCACACAAGACATATTTTTCTGAAACCACCTTATATAAATGATATCTAAAGATTTGACCTTTCAAACGAACACATGTATAGAATTTGAAGAAGGCAGCCAGTTTCCGGAAGTAGCCATGATAGTTGAACTTTGTCTTAATGTCATGTGTTTTAGACGACTTTCTGCTAAAGACACGAGCAGCTTTATGAAGAATAATTAGACAAGTTGTTTTATGGTGCATTGTGGGTCGTTGCTGTCCTGGGCTCATGCCAACCATTTATTTGAGCAGATATTGACTTTGTCAGGAACATTAGTTTGAATAAGACACAAGCAGATTATTTAACCTTAACTCGGAAATCTGTTATGGACTTCAGTTTTAGTGTGGTGTCCAGTTGACCTTATCCTCTAATACAGAAAGGTACTGTCCAATTTATTTTTATTTTAAGTGGAAAATGTTCACAATTAGCCTTATATTTCAATGTGGAGTTCGGCAACACTAAATTCACAGCAGACTGGATTTTTAGCGACATTATTGGTTAAATTCAACCCAGTTGGCAAAGAGGGCAACAATTACATTCTGTTATTAAATATGAATAAGAGCAATAGCCAAAATGCCCCTTTTCTATGCACTAATGATTGTAGTATTCAAATTAGTTGTGCTTTTTAACTAGTCAACTATTTTGTGACCTCATGATCTTTTTGTTGGTGTGTCTTATGTTTAGTTCGTATTGATTGAATAAGGAAAAGCCATGTACAATTTTAAATAATTAAGTCAAATAGTCAAATTTGGTTTATTATTATCTAGTATTACTTTCACCCCTGACAACTCTATGTCTGTTAGACTAGATACTAAAACTCAGTTTAAAGGTCAGAGGGCGTGCTTACCTATGAATATATATCACTAAAGCTTATATTTTATAAAGGGTCAACATCTGTTGGGATTAATCTGTTATCCAGATATAATCTGTACAATTTATCCCAAAATATATTTGTTGTGATCTTGAAAATGATCATTGTCTCTCTTGTTAATCTTTAAAAATGCTTGCCTGGCACCAAGCCAAGGTGTTAATCCAACACTTCCACTCACTATATGGGTGTGATAGTTTCTGGTGCGCCCTGTGGAAATATTTAAAGATGGGTTTCTCCTTAGGGAAACATTGCATAATATCGGGCAGACTGCCTATGAGCTCATGATAATACCTTTAAAGAAACCTGCTTATTGACACGTCAAAACAAGAAGTTGAGCCTTTTCCTTTTAGGTTTTTTAAGGGAAAACTTTTTGACAACCATTTAGAAATGTATGGCAGCTGAGGTCACAAATGGGGCACTAAAGGCATTTATTGCTATATAAATACAAAATAGCCCCCTTTTATCATATAGACATACAAGCAAAATCTACTTGACAAAAACACACTTTATTTTGAAAGGTACTGATGTTTATTTCAACCATGTGGAGTTTCTTCTGAATGCCCGGCTCTGACTTAGAATGTTTTAAATTCCCCAATTTTGGGACTGGAAAGCCCGAACTGTTCTGTGATCTAAAAATGAAAGCACTTTAGCAAGGAAAGCAGTATTTTCCCCAAAAAGCCAAAAATGTGCCAAAGTTGCTGTCTAATAGTTCCTGTCGCAATAATGTTACTGACCAGGCTTTCATAATCACTTCCATACTGACTCCTTAACATGACACGGCTCTTCGGTTTGTTTTTTAAATGTTTTGTCAGCACAAAAGCAAGAAGCTTAAGCATCTCTGTGGCTCACCGTTCTGTTGCCTTTACTATCTTTGAACGACTGTACTTTGATTTCATTCCTGAATTATTTTTGACAAACACTCCCAGTTCTCACGACTTTGTATTCATTTTGTAGATTTTTGTGGCTAAGATTGTGCCTGTTTTAAATTGTAATTGGTTGTGGTTAATGATGTGTGTTTGTTGATATGTGTGAAAGCCTGTGGATCTATTTTCTTTCATCTTTTTTTTTTACCTCAGAACAGTGTCAGTAATTGTGGTTAACAACAATCTTCTTTTTTGTATTTGTCATGATCTGAATTTGGGAACAGAGTGAATGGAGCGACTGGTGTTTAGGGGGAAATTATCGTAGTGTCCTTCATTCTCTCTGGCATGCTTTAACTTAAAAAAAACAACAACAGAGAAACAAGATGTAAATACTGTTTTATAATTTCTGTCTTAATGAGTTTTGATGATGAAGAAAGTGATTAATAAACTTGAGTTATATTTCTCTATGGACCTTTGTGATGGATTTCATTTCCTCTGAGGACTTAT